CTACAACTCCCATGATCCCTAGCTAGCAGGACCAGTGGTCAGGGATGCTGGGAATTGTAGTCTCAAAACATCTTGTGGGCCGAGGTTGAGGAAGTCTGGCTTAAAGAAACATAGAACAAGAAACCTATAAGCTCATATAAGTGGTAATTCTCAAATGGTTCGCATCGGGCACATGTTAATTCTCTCTCCATCTGCTGATCAGCCAGAACATGGCAACCTTTCTCAAGCTGGATTGGGCTAAGGGCTAGAAATCCCCTTGGCAAAAATTTGGAATGAGACCCCTTAGCACATAAGCACATGGCTTCGCTGTCCAATCTCTGAATTTATATTATCAAAAATAAACACTTTCTGATGTTTTCTGTAACTGACATGCAACGGATTCCACATTGCAGCAAATACGATAAGTGCAGTAAACAATAGAAAATTACACTTCATTACACACGGAGAAACATTTGCTTAGCCTTCGTGCATACAAAATCCAGTTGCCATGCAACTCTCAGCATCCCACAGTAAATAAAGCGTGGAATTTTACAAACCAAGACAAGCACTGGGCTGTATCGACCCTCTCAGATCATGCCACAGCTTGACTTCTTTCTATTCCATCATCATTTAGCATCAAGAACTTCTTAAAACTGTTGGCGAAAAATGCTATTTAACTACTACAACACCCTCTGGTGGGAAGGAGATGTTCAAGTCAAGGATTAACCTCAAATAGCATTTTTACACTCTGGGGGCTAAACTGCAGTTGGCAAGTTCAGTGAAAGGTTGTAAATGCATTGACTGATTCTACAGTCTTGTTGCTCACTAAGGGCACTTCAGAGTGGCATGTTTATTGAGCATCCATCTTGATTTGTTTGCAGGGAGATTAAAAGGCACTGGCTATTGAATAAATATCCATCTTGTTTTGTTTCTGGGGAGGTTAGTGCTCTAGAGCAGTGTTTCCCAACCTTGTGCCTCCAGCTGTTTTTGAACTACAACTCCCATCATCCCTGACTAGCAAGACCAGTGGCAAGGGATGATGGGAATTGTAGTCCAAAAACAGCTGGAGGCACAAGGTTGGGAAACACTGCTCTAGAGAAATGGGATCCACTGAGGAATTTGCAGCCATCCTTTGAGGATGAGAAGGCATTGGAAACTCACCTTGAGAAAAGTTGCAATGGGCCCAAAAAAGAGTGGCGACTGCACTGGATCAATGCTGAGCGGGCAAAGAAAACTGGACATAGCATAAAAAGATGCTCACATCGTCTGCCAGGCGGAGATGGAGGGGGGCTGATGAAAAAAGTATTTGCAAAGAGTGGGACTTGTCTGCCTGGGAAGCAAAACTTGCATTGGAAAGGATGATAAAGCGAGTAAGTTATGAAATGTCTAGGATTTAGAAGGCACATCTCCCATGAAAGCAGTTGGCATCTGCCTCTGCTTCAGGCTGGGAGGCGCTGTGGGATGTTGAGTGGGCAAGCCTCTATCCTTCAGGCAGTAGCAAGAGGATGCTTGTGGCTCTCCTTCAGGCAGGCAGCATCAGCATGAATGAGATTAATTTCTCAAAGCTAACCGCCGACCCCTGGGGTTTCCAGAACACCTTTCTCCACTTCCCTAGCTGAGGACAATGTAAGCTTGGCCTTCTGTGTGAAAGGACACAACAGAAACGGCAGTTTTAAATCAGACTGGGAGAGCCTCAGAGAGGACTGAGTTTTGGGGCTCTGTAAGCTAACACCACTGGTCCTATCACCTCCTGGCAAATAGAAGAGGAAGAAATGGAGGCAGTGAGAGATTTTACTTTCTTGGGCTCCATGATCACTGCAGATGGTGACAGCAGTCACGAAATTAAAAGACGCCTGCTCCTTGGGAGAAAGGCGATGGGAAACCTAGACAGCATCTTAAAGGTCCGCATAGTTAAAGCTATGGTTTTCCCAGTAGTGATGTATGGAAGTGAGAGCTGGACCATAAAGAAGGCTGATCGCCGAAAAATTGATGCTTTTGAATTATGGTGCTGGAGGAGACTCTTGAGAGTCCCACGGACTGCAAGAAGATCAAACGTATCCATTCTTAAGGAAATCAGCCCTGAGTGCTCACTGGAAGGACAGATCCTGAAGCTGAGGCTCCAATACTTTGGCCACCTCATGAGAAGAGAAGACTCCCTGGAAAAGACCCTGATGCTGGGAAAGATGGAGGACACAAGGAGAAGGGGACGACAGAGGACGAGATAGTTGGACAGTGTTCTCGAAGCTACCAGCATGAGTTTGACCAAACTGCGGGAGGCAGTGGAAGACAGGAGTGCCTGGCGTGCTCTGGTCCATGGGGTCACGAAGAGTCGAACATGACTAAACGACTAAACAACAACAAGCTAACACCATCTAAGCAAAGATGGGAAACTGATGTGGAGAAATGGGTTTCGCTATTGGTGTGTTTTGGCTGTGTGACTCCATCCATGCTCAACTTGTACATTTGTAAATAACATTTGCAAGCATTGCAAGGCATCTTTAAACCCCAGTACAGTGGTACCTCAGGTTACATACGTTTCAGGTTACATACGCTTCAGGTTACAGACTCCGCTAATCCAGAAATAGTGCTTCAGGTTAAGAACTTTGCTTCAGGATGAGAACAGAAATCATGCTCCGGCGGCCTGGCAGCAGCAGAAGTCCCCATTAGCTAAAGTGGTGCTTCAGGTTAAGAACAGTTTCAGGTTAAGTACGGACCTCCGGAATGAATTAAGTACTTAACCTGAGGTACCACTGTAATACCTTCTTCCAAAGGAAACCAAACTTGATAAGGCTTCAGACTTTAAAAAGAATTATAATACTCTTGTTTCAACAACAAGCACTTTAGTTTGCACCGTTTAGAGCAGAAGTGAGTAATATCAGAGAGTCTTAAGGCACCTCTTAGTTTTGGCTAAAGAATCTGGAAAACCATAGAAGCCAGTGCTATATTACTGCCAACAATCCGCTAACATCTTCCAGGATACTTGGTTTGACAAATGCTTAGTTCTCATCGATACAATAAGCCTGTGTTTGGTGCTCTGCCTTTTCAGACTGTGGGGGCTCACATGACTGAATGATCCTTCACACACACAATACACACACAAAAAAAAACCTAGGTTAGAATTCTCCTTTCCTCTGACAGCTAGTTTTCTGTGTAGTGGGGCTTGGGATGTGGGGGTGAAGAGCATTCAGCCATTTAAGTCCTCACCTGCCGCATGAAGTGGCAGAACCCACATAGTGACTGACTACCTCAGGGAGAACCAAGTCAACATTACTGCACAAGTGACCTGCCCTGAGCTTACGTATTTTTTTATTTTTTAAAAGTTTTTTAAAAAAATCAGCGGCTAAACTACTGAGATTCGAATGATAGGGTTGGCAGCCATCACTTATCTGGGAACCATGAAGCAGTTTGACCCCTTCTCTCTCCCACAGCTCTTTCCATATGGCCAGGTTCCCAGAACCTCTTTTATGACAGAAACATTACTTCAGAACTCCCAACATGAGAGAAAGTGGTAAGGAACTTCCTAATGGAAGGTAGAGCAGGGAACACAGTACAGTGGTACCTTGGTTCCCAAACGCCTTGGCTCCCAAATGCCGCAAACCCGGAAGTAAGTGTTCCGGTTTGCAAACGTTTTTTGGAAGACAAACGTTCGTTTCAGCTGTCGGCATTGTTTCCGGGGCCAATCAGCCAATCAGAAGCCTTGGTTTGTGAACGTTTTGGAAGTCGAACGGACTTCCAGAACGGATTGAGTTTGGGCACCAAGGTACCACTGTATTGCTAAGAAATAAGACCTAGCCATGGTGGGTTTTCCATCGCTTTCATTTTTCAGCAAATCCTTTATGATGGACAACTATTTGTCTAGTCAACTGTCTCTTCCATGTTGAAAGTCCCAGTCAATAGCTACCAAGTGTACCCTCAGACTCTCCTTGTGTTGTGGGGCAGTTTCAAGCATATACCAGAACTTCAGGATGATGGGAGGGCCATAGCTCTGTGAAGAAGAAGAAGAAGAAGAAGAAGAAGAAGAGGAGTTTGGATTTGATATCCCGCCTTTCACTCCCTTTAAGGAGTCTCAAAGCGGCTAACATTCTCCTTTCCCTTCCTCCCCCACAACAAACACTCTGTGAGGTGAGTGGGGCCGAGAGACTTCAAAGAAGTGTGACTGGCCCAAGGTCACCCAGCAGCTGCATGTGGAGGAGCGGAGACGCGAACCCGGTTCCCCAGATTACGAGACTACCGCTCTTAACCACTACACCATACTGGCTCTCATCTGCACATGGAAGGTTCTAGTTTCAGGTCCCAGCATCTCCAGGTAGGCCTGAAGATCAGTTGCCAGTCGGTGCTAGGTGGACCAGTGGCCTGACTCTGAAAAAGGAAGCTTTCTATGTTCCTGATTAAAGTGGGTGAAACAGCTCTCTCTTTGTCCTTCCAGATGTTGTTGAACCACTCAAGCCAAAAGCTCCTATGCATGGACATAATTCGCTTTCGCTTCCTTCTCCATCCAGACAAACAAAAGGCATTATTATAGTTCAAAGATACATCCCATCAGTGGTGTACGGTCAGTGGACTAGTCCCCAGAAGAGTCCAAGAGCCCTCCCACCACCTTCCCAAAGCCTGCTTCCTTTGGGAAGGAGGCAACAGGGCTCCAGCATCCCGTCAGAGGCATGGCGCCTCCTTCCCAAAGTCTGGGAAGCTTCTGTCCAGCTTAGGAGGGAGGTGTGATGTTCACACATGCAATGTCAGTGCCCCAACCCCAATTGACCTTGCAAGATGCCACCTCTGGCCCTAACAGTTCCCCTATGGAAAATTTCACTGCACACCTCTGCATTCCATCCAGGAAGATGCAGAATACAATGGTACCTTGGGTTACATACGCTTCAGGTTACATACGCTTCAGGTTACAGACTCTGCTAACCCGGAAATAGTGCTTCAGGTTAAGAACTTTGCTTCAGGATGAGAACAGAAATCGTGCTTCGGCAGCACAGTGGCAGCAGGAGGCCCTATTAGCTAAAGTGGTGCTTCAGGTTAAGAACAGTTTCAGGTTAAGTACGGACCTCCGGAACGAATTAAGTACTTAACCCGAGGTACCACTGTAGGCCCATGAGAAATGTGGCCTGGGCCAAGACCTGAGGGTTTGAAAAAGAGGCCTGGACCACCCCCCACCGCCCGGGCCTGAGTTTCTTCTCCACTGATATAACTAGTTTTCAGTGTAGCTAGGTGTGTACCATGTAAAAAGGCCTTTTCCACACCTCCAATTCCCCAGATCTTCAGCTTGCCAACCTCTGGGGAACCCATATTGCCTTCCTGTGTTCATAGCTGCCAAGGGTAGAGTTAATTCAGGCTGCTATGTTTAGAGCCCAGTTTGGGTAGGATTAGATAGTTAAAAGCAATGGCAAAGAGGTATCTTTCAGCCTTCACACTGGAACCGTTCTTTTCATCGAATGCACCCTCCAAACATCTGCTTAGCGTTTTAGCAGCTCAGCCGCTCCCAGTCATGCGAGCCAACAACTTCAAAGCAACGCCACTAATATCTGTGCAACTGCAGTTCAGCAGTTCCCATCAGAAAACGTGCAACTTTGGTAATTAATGATGTATTTAGCCCATCTAAGAACAATGCTGGCTCTTATTTGGGCAATAAGTACTCACATTTCATTGCAAATGACTGAACACTGGATAATAATAAAAAGGATATTAAGCTATCTATCAAGGTATTGCCAATATTTTCCAATACTGTCTTTAGGCATTAAAATGATGCCTTGATATATTTGATATATATTTGTGGAAGATTAGGCCTGTTAATCCAGCCTAAACCTGTACTGGAAGCATAAATTCACTTTGCAGTTTGCTGTCAAATAATTTGTAACCAACTGGCGGCAGCAAATACGGCTAGATCTTGGAGGCAGTCCATGGGTCTCTCTGCACCAATGTTCTGTCTATTGCTTCCACATTCTGACAACCTAGAAGGGGAAAAAAGGAAAGAGCAGGGGAGATCAAAGCAACTTATAGTCCGAATTATTTTCTGTTCCCAGTGACCGCTCCAGTAATTTTACCTGGGGGACGGGTCTTCTCCTATACTTGTTCAATCATACCAGCATCAGGACACATGTTTTGAAAGACCCCACCACCTTCTGGAGCTTAGATGGGTGGTGACCAGTGAGAAGGTGCGACCCTGTCTCTGGACGCCCCTCTCAAAGTAGCCCATTTGCCACAATCACATCAAACTTCCAAGTGGCAAGTGAAGAACTCATTTTTCCATGCTGTCTCCAGTGATATTGACTTCAATGGGAGATTCCCACCCACAAGGCAAATACCACCTTCAGAGGAGGCACTGCCCTCAGGAGCACAGCATGGGCAGAAAGAGTTAAGCTCTCCATCCATGCTTATTTGCAAACTCGATAATTTATCAACCCAATCCCATGTGCTTTAGAATGTGATTTAAAGGTACAGTGTAGACACAGCCAATAATTCCAATATATTTTGCATCTTACCAGAAAGTGCCATTGCCAACTGGAACTCTTCTTTCAATATCTTAAGAACTTCCTTCACACCTTCTTCACCCTAATTAAGTTAAGCATATCACATAAACATAGATTATGAGGTTTCAGCTTTAAGTCAGGCAATGCTCTCAGTGTGGTGGCAAAAATATCGGTTTGTTCAGTAAACACCGAGTGGTCTTTTCAAATCCTGCCACTTGGCTGCTACTGTGAGATATAGCATGAGGTCTGCTATAATTACAATGCTTTGTCCCCTATAGTTTAAGATGGCTAGACTGGCCGTATGCTAAAACAAACAAACCATGAATGAATGCTGAAAAACAGACACTGGACAGCAAAGAATTCCATCCCGAAATTGGAACTAACCTTCATCTGTCTTCAATTTAAAAGGTGGGGAACAGAGAGAGATCTGGATCAAAGAATTCCATCCATTAGTTAAAAAGCAGAAAAGTCATTGCATAAAATAGAACATTTGTATCAGTGTATTGGAAAGGAGATTTATAGCTATTTTAACCTACACAATATACACGTCTTGAAAATCCAATGCATCCTGCCAGCAGGACTTATGAGCTGAATCCCTTCCTATGAGTCCAACTCAGTAATTAATGTGCAGATCTGCTTTTCCAGTAAACCAGCAGAAGCTACGGAACAGGCATTCGTACTACTGCTTTAAATTACCTTATAGGCGAGTCCCCAGATTACAGGCCTTCCTACGAACACAGCTCGGGCTCCAAGGGCGAGGGCCTTGAGGACATCTGTGCCTTTCCTTACTCCACCATCTAGGAACACCTCCACTTTTCCTCCCACGGCCTCAATGATCTCAGGCAGGACCTCAACCTGCAAAGGAAAGGGGGGCAGGGGTGGGAACAGCCTCTGAACACTTTCAAACTACTGGGGCCCAACGTTTGTTTTTATCAAGCCGCCATCTTTATTTCCATGTGTGCGAACGTAAGTTTGGCAAGTGCAAACGTTAATTAAAAAACTAATGATCCAAAGCGGGGACAGAGAACTTAAGGTCCTCCAGATTTTGCCCAAATATGGCTCCCATCAGTCTTCACCATTGCTGGCTGGGACTGATGGGAGTTGGAGCGCAGCAACATTTGGAAGACCCCAGGTTCCCCATCTCTGATTTGAAACATGGCGCCAAAGAGACCCAGTTGTGACAGAAAGCACATCTGCACATACTCTGGGATATCACTGATCCTATATTGCACACTGCTCTGGAAGGTTCACTGCCACCAGCACTTGGGAGCAGCTTTCTGGGAGTCCAATGTGTCAGTTTGCATTTCTTAGTGCAGAAAGTATTGATCTGATGTGTAGAGATATTTCCTATTCTAATTGATTCAAGAGGGTTCTGGAAGCTTCCTTGTGTGAAAGAAACAAGAAGAAGGTTCATGATGTTTGTGTTACAGCTGGTTTAAACTGGTTTTCTTATCTCTTCTGGCAAGGTCAGAAGGAGCCTGGGTTTCACTTTCTCTTTCTATCACTTTTCCTTCTGGTGTGGTGTTCTGTACGCAGCATGCTTAGTGTTAAGGTTTAGACTTATTATAAGTTATTGTAAGTTTAAGTGAACTGGATTTCTTATGGACAGTGCCAATCCTGAATGTATCGGATCTGTGACCATGATACTCAATTGCCTTCAGTAGCAGTAAAGCTCTGCTGGATGAAATACAATTGCTTCTAGTCTATTTTTTGCGAATCCTGCAACGTGTTTAAGTTTTCACTCTGCTAACTATACGTTGGAGTTCTGCTCTGGATCAATACTGAGTAGAATTTCAATGACACAATGGCGCCGCAGGGAGAAAGGAGCAGTAAAATTCCAATGCATGCAGCCCTTTGAGTTGTAGCCCATCCCCATAAAACACAAGCATCTTTTATGGGAAAGTGTGTCTCAGACAGCACGATCCCTCTGTGCCCTGTGCACTGCCTCCTTCCCATGGCACTGGCTGTTTTAACAAACTGTAGGATTGGTTAGTGCTTGAGCTGTTTTATCCTCCTTTCACTTGGCTGCCTGATTTGTGTTTGCATGCATCCACCATCTTAACCAAGTCCTATTGAATTCAATGGGGCTTACTCCCAGGGAAGTGGAGTTAGGATTGCAACTTTAGACAGTTAAGAATGAAGCTTTAAACTGATGAGCCTAGACTAATTCTATTGGAGTTAAAAGGGACAACTCCATTTGAATTTTTCTAACTCCCAACAGCATCAAACTGCGGGAGGCAGTGGAAGACAGGAGTGCCTGGCATGCTCTGGTCCATGGGGTCACGAAGAGTCGGACACGACTAAACGACTAAACAACAACAACAACTCCCAACAGCATAGCAGTAAGATCAGCAGAATGACTCCCCCTCTGATCCAAAAATATTTGTGTGGATATTTGTGCTGAAGTGCTATGGGTGCCATTCAGTTACTCAGAATGAATTCCTCATCTCAGAAGTCTTTAGTTCTCAGTAAGAACAACAAAGAAAAACAAATATTTTTGTGACAGAAGTTCTCATGCGCTCACTTGTTTTGTCAGATTCATGAAACCTTACACTGCCAGAATAGGAAGAAGAAGATTAATAGGTGGGATGGCAATGAAATTCAAATAATACAGTTGTACCTTGGTTGACAAATGGAATCTGTTCCGGAAGTCCGTTCAACTTCCAAAAACGTTTGAAAACCAATGCGTGGGTTCCGATTGGCTGCAGGAGCTTCTTGCACTCAATCGGAACTCTCTGTGGCGCACATTCAGATTCCAAAGAACGTTCGCAAATCGGAACACTCCCATGTTTGTGGCAGTCGGGAGCCAAAACATTTGAGTCGCAAGGTGTTCATCAACCAAAGTATGACTGAACAGTTGGTTTAAATGTCTGCTCAATAGGCACCCCTTTTACATTTGCCAATAGGTGGTAATTAGTGGAAACAAAAAGGAGAGGTGTGGTTCGAGGTGGAAAGGAAGGACCCAAGGGAACCACTGACACTGCGCCCAAGTATGCCCAAATCCTGGAGCAAGCCCTAACTCTATTGCATTTTGTGTTTGGTGCATTGGGTTGGTTTTTATCAGTGCACATTATTCCGAGAGCCAAGGTTGAAGAAAGAGCTAATACAGATTTGAATAAACCATGGGCATGCAAACTAAGGCCCAGGGGCCGGATCCAGCCCAATCGCCTTCTGAATCCAGCCTGCAGACAGTCCGGGAATCAGCATGTTTTGACATGAGTAGAATGGTGTCCTTTCATTTAAAATGCATCTCTGGGTTATTTGTGGGGCCTGCCTGGTGTTTTGACATGAGTAGAATGTGTGCTTTTATTTAAAATGCATCTCTGGGTTATTTGTGGGGCATAGGAATTTGTTCATTTCCCCCCCTGAAGATATAGTCCGGCCCCCACAAGGTGTGAGGGACAGTGGACTGGCCCCCTGCTGAAAAGGTTTGCTGACCCCTGGATAAACCCAGCAGCGGCATAGTGTGAGCTCCCAGCACCTGACGCAGGCACAAATGCATGCCAGAGGGACGGACGGAGGGTGAGACAAGAAGGATCCTGCCACAGCACCCCAACCCTCACTGCCAACACAGCTGGAGCAACCTTGCCCTGCACCGGAGCCAAACAGGGCCACACTGTGCTGCCTGCCCAGTTAGCTGACACAGCACTTGGCAGGTGCAAACTAGGTTCCCCATGCCGGCGCCCCCAGTGTGGCATGGCCCAGTGCTCCTCTCCTTGAGTGTTGGTTCCTCCAACACCGGGAGAGGAGGGCCAGGCCAGGCTGTGCAGTGAGCCTGCTTCGTGGACCCTCAAAAATCCAGGGCCAGGGCTCCCCTGGCACCCACATATTATGCCCCTGAAACCCAGCTAGTGAGATATCCTGCAGCAACAACAGTGGCTTGGGCAGGTGCATTTGCAGACTTTAGAAACACAAGAAAAGTTATATGAGAACAAATTTCCTAAAAGATACTACACGGCAACAAAAAGAGCAGAATTCAGCTAAGATTCTGGTTTTTTTACTCTGTTGTTGCTGCTTAATTGCAATGTGAACATTTAGCTCGTTTTGTGACACTTGTCTGCAAAATGGGAGGGGGAAAGTTCTTGTTTAAGAACTGTGTTGTGGCTCCAATGAAGATAACTGATAGGAAAAACTATGCTGTGCATCAATTGTAAATGTTGAAGAAACTCCAGTTCCTCAGACTAGATGCCTCTCTTTTGAACAGGGCAAAATAGTAAGATGCTAGCAGACTGTTGGATTGTTTCGGCAAGGAAACAAAACCACTTTATATTGCACGCCAAAACCTGAGATTGGGCAATTCAGCTCTTTGCTCAGGACAGGTGGATGTGGGAAGTCTATGACAGATGACTGATAGATAGCTGATATGATGGATGATAAACCTGTGACCAGGCAGTTTAACTACATGCACAGGACCACTGGATATAACAAGGCTATGATAGATGAGTTCAAAGTCTCAAAGAGTCCTCCAAAGTCTAATGTGTTGATGGGTAAGGAGCTTATGCAAGTAGAAACCAATGTTTCATACACAGAAAACGATGCTGCACAAGACAAGCAGAGGCAATATTCATTTCTTTGAAGGCAAAACAGAGTGGCCAGAGGGAATCAAAACTTGCAAGTTCAATTTGCTTGTATATTCTTTCTGACTGAGGTTTCTAGTCATCTGGCACACAATAAAAGGGCTTGTTTTTCCTCTTTAGGTTTTGCTTTGTTGCCAGAAATACTTTGGTTCCACTTCCGCATATGTATGCTCACTTTCACATCCAGGCAGATTGTGCCAAGTGCTGTTACTTGAGTCTCATACAAGCCATAATTAAAGCGCACATTTCATCAATGTGTAACAAGACACAAGGAAACATTCACCAGTTTGGACTTGATTTGTTCTCAAAACCAAAATAAAGCTAAACTATGTAGTCAGGTTTCAAGAACGTAAGGGTTTCAATCAGACTCTAAATAGTTATATTTTCCCCTCCAGGGCAAAAAATACATGCTTTACATGCGTAAGATCCCAGGTTCAATCCCTGACATCTACAGTTTAAAGTTTTCAGGGCTGAATTTACTAAATCTATAAATTATGAGTACCTTTCACCCACAAACCCTGACAGTCAAATGGCAACAGCAGGGTTTTGCCAATATCATAGGAGCCAATTCCTAGGGGCCCACGGTCCCTTTGTGTGCCCCCCCCCAATTATGCTCTGGAACCTAGGAGTAAATCAGGAAGCAATCCTTTTTTAAAAAAAACTCTGCAGCTGAGAGCACATGGCAACACAATGCAAGTCTGCTTTGAGCTCATTTTCCAACGATCAGGCAAACCATAAGGTAAAGGGACCCCTGACCATTAGGTGCAGTCATGACCGACTCTGGGGTTGTGACGCTCATTTCACTTTATTGGCCAAGGGAGCCAGCGTACAGCTTCCAGGCCAGCATGACTAAGCCGCTTCTGGCGAACCAGAGCAGTGCACGGAAACGCCGTTTACCTTCCCGCCGGAGTGGTACCTATTTATTTACTTGCACTTTGACGTGCTTTCGAACTGCTAGGTTGGCAGGAGCAGGGAGCGAGCAACGGCAGCTCACCCCGTCACGGGGATTCGAACCGCCGACCTTCTGATCAGCAAGTCCTAGGCTCTGTGGTTTAACCCACAGCGCCACCCGTGTCCCCAGGCAAACCAAAGGCTAGCACATATGCCTAGAATGCACCCTTGAAAGCCACATTTTTATTTGTGGGTGGGGGTGGGAACCCGGCTGTTAATTGCTTAAACTGCATTTAAATAAATTTGTCAATCATTGCGGCCAACTCTCAGTTGCTTTACTAATACTTACAGTGGCTGGAACACCATCCAACTGGCGCGCGCCGTGATTTGACACCAGAATCCCATTTACGCCATGCTTCACTGCTTCTTGAGCATCATCGGCTAGGGAAGAAAACATGGGGCCTTTACAAATTGCAGCTGTCATTGTGGGAATTGCAACATCCATAAAACTCTTTAATGAGCACATAGAACTAAGGCCAGCTTTTCTGAAGAAGGTTGCACAAGGAATGCGATTCAGCAACTAAAACTTCACTGTGTGACTGTCTCCCAAGTCAAAGGCAACGTTTATATTGCTATGGGAAGATCCTTAGTGCAGGTTAATTCTGTGTTCAGGGCGGCTGTCTACCAGCTCCACCTGGTACGCAGGCTGAGACCGTACCTGCCCACGGACTGTCTCGCCAGAGTGGTACATGCTCTAGTTATCTCCCGCTTGGACTACTGCAATGCGCTCTACATGGGGCTACCTTTGAAGGTGAACCAGAAACTGCAATTAATCCAGAATGCAGCAGCTAGACTGGTGTCTAGGAATGGCCCCCGGGACCACATAACACCAGTCCTGAGAGATCTGCATTGGCTCCCAGTACGTTTCCGAGCGCAATTCAAAGTGTTGGTGCTGACCTTTAAAGCCCTAAATGGCCTTGGTCCTGTATACCTGAAGGAGCGTCTCCATCCCCATCGTTCTGCCTGAGATCTAGCACCGAGGGCTTTCTGGTGGTTCCCTCATTGCGAGAAGTGAGGTTACAGGGAACCAGACAGAGGGCCTTCTCGGTAGTGGCGCCCACCCTGTGGAACATCCTCCTGATGTCAGATGTCAAGGAAATAAGCAGCTACCCTATCTTTAAAAGACATCTGAAGGCAGCCCTGTTTAGGGAAGTTTTTAATATTTAATGCTGTATTGTTTTTAACACTTGATTGGAAACCGCCCAGAGTGGATGGGGAAACTCAGCCAGATGGGCGGGGTATAAATAATAAATTATTATAAATTATTATTAGTATTGTTCCGAAGAGCTGGTAAATGTTCATTCTACTGATCCCCATCAAAACTAGCCCTTTTGCCCAGAGATTTACTGTATACAGACAATAACGATTACCTTAATCTCTCTCACACACAATGCAATCATTTCGTATTCTGATGGCTTTCGATTCATTATAAAAACAGAGAAAGGAAGAGGCCTCATAATTCCATATATCATATACAGCCCAGAGGAGAACGTGGGCCTGTTTGTACAGTATATTGAGCAAGTTTAGACACAATCCATTTCCTATTGTGCCTTCCCTCAAAGTTAGATACAAGCAAATGTCAGTTCTGACATCCGCTTAAAGATAATTGCTTTCAAAAGGAACAACACTTTATAGCTTATTTTATGGGTTTGGACCAAACCTTAAGAAGTGTTACATTAACCAAAAGATTTAATTTCCTGGAAGACCAGGATCCCAAGAAACAAACAAACAAATTCCTTTAGGGGAAAAAGTGTTCATGATCTAAAATGCTCCAAAGCTCCAACCAGCTAAAGAATGTGCCATTCACGGTTTATAAAAAGAAAAAGCTGGCTTTGTTTTAACAATTTACACACTTACGAGATAGAATGTTGCACATTTCTTCTACAACTGTATGTTAAACATTCATCTTCTAAGGTGTACAGTCATACCTCGGGTTACAGACACTTCAGGTTGAGTTTTTTCAGGTTACGGACCGCCGAAACCCGGAACTACCCGAACAGGTTACTTCTGGGTTTCGGCGGTCGCACATGCGCAGAAGCACTAAATCACGCTTTGTCCATGTGTAGAAGCACCAAATCGCAACCCGCGCGTGCGCAGATGTGCAGCTACGGGTTGCGAACACTGTGGGTTGCGAACGCTGCGGGTTGCGAACGCTGCGGGTTGCGAACGTGGATCCCGCACGGATCACGTTCGCAACCCGATCGTCCACTGTACTGCAACTTACTGAATAAATTAAATTAAGTGAACAAAATAAATTGCCATGCTCTGTGACTTTGAGCTCAAAGTGCAAAATAATAATAATAAGGATGATGATGATGATGATGATGATTTATTATTTATACCCTGCCCATCTGGTCACTCTTCCCCAGCCACTCTGGTCGGCTTCCAACAAAATATTAAAATACCGCAATACATCAAACATTAAAAGCCTCCCTAAACAGGGCTGCCTTCAGATGTCTTCTAGAAGTCTGGTAGTTGTTGTTCTCTTTGACATCTGGTGGGAGGGCGTTCGACAGGGCAGGCGCCACTACCGAGAAGGCCCTCCGCCTGGTTCCCTGTAACTTGGCTTCTCGCAGTGAGGGAACCGCCAGAAGGCCCTCGGCGCTGGACTTCATGCACATGTTGATTGGGTGTGGGTGTGTGCCGACAGGGACACACAGTAGTATTCATTTAAAAAAAGATGATTCAGACCAGCACTGCTAATACATAATCCAACGTCTGGGTAACGTATATTCTTTATTAAGCCCTTTATTAGCTTTCACACTAACTCAGGACTGGTGAGCCTGGTATTCAGTTTGCATCTTCAAAGCTAAGGCAACAAAAGAAAGACAATTTATCTTCTTGCTTAAAATACAGGGGGGGATCCAGCCTTCAGGTGAACTCGAAAGCCCTTAAGTGAAGGACACTTGAAATCTTGAAGTGCTTCCTAGCCAATCAAACATAGGTTTGGTAGGAAACATCATCTCCTCCTGGCTTGCCAGATTTTTAGCAGCTCCCGTTTCTAGACAAGATGGAAAAGCTTTGAACCAAGGTGATAAGTGTGAGGAGAGCAGGAAAGAAGAAGGATATAAAATCAAACTGCAAAAATAAACAGGGCTGTTGAGAAAAACATATATTCTGTTTGTCATCAAAAATAGCCTCTGCATTCTCTCTCAACCTTCTGTAAGCCTCGTCCGATATCCCTCAAGTTTTAACTCAAGTTGAACAAACCTCTAAGGATGCCTTTGGCAACAATTGGCAGCGAAGTCAATCCTCTGAGCCACCTCATATCCTCCCAGTTGATTGATGGATCAATTGCCTCCGCTACATAAACAGACAGGCCACTGTTTTCGCCATAGCCCGTCTCCGATGAAAAGGCCAGGTCATTCGTTTCAAAATTTTTCATTCTGGAGTTCAAGAGCGGGGGAGAAAACACTTTCAGAAACTCAGCTGGATGCTGCAATATTTAAAGCCAGTACAGCTTCAACTCTCGACAAAACCTCTCAAATGGCTATTTTAAAAAAAATAAATTAATCACATACTTCATATTTAATGAATGGACTTGGAAGCCTGCTGATTTGTCTACCGTGGTGTGGAGCAATGCATCCTAAATATTTGAGGTGGTCTTGTGGTCATTGACAGCCGCCCAGAGTGGCTGGGGAAACCCAGCCAGATGGGCGGGGTATAAATAATAAATTTATTATTATTATTATTATTATTATTATTATTATTATTATTATTATTGACAGGGAACATGTCATTATAATGAAATGATTTTAGAATTTGGATCATTTTACTGTTGTTAGCCGCTCTGAGCCCGGCTTCAGCTGGGGAGGGCAGGATATAAATAAAATATTATTATTATTATTATTATTATTATTATTATTATTATTAGACTCTTATTATGCTTTTATATTCTGCTGGAAGCCACCCAGAGTGGCTGGGGAAACCCAGCCAGATGGGCGGGGTATAAATAATAAAATTGTTGTTGTTGTCGTCGTCATCATCAGCATCACCACCATCATCAATCTCAGAGCTGCAGGTTTGAGCCCCAAAATGGGCAAAGGATTCCTGTATTGCAGGGGCTGAACCAGATGCCTTTGGGGGTGCCTTCCAACACTACAAATCTATGATTCTATTATGTTAAAACAAAGTACTTCGTCACACGACGTGTAACTATCTCATAGAATTCATTGCCATATGAAATTGTGAGAGCCACTGGCTTTAAAAGGACATTAGCCAATGGGTTATTGGCAGCTATTGGGCATGATTGCAAATAGAACCTGCATGTTCAGAGGCAGTACAGTGGTACCTCGGGTTACAGACGCTTCAGGTTACATACGCTTCAGACTCTGCTAACCCAGATATAGTACCTCGGGTTAAGAACTTTGCTTCAGGATGAGAACAGAAATCGTGGTCCAGCGGCGCGGAGGCAGCAGGAGGCCCCATTAGCCAAAGTGGTGCTTCAGGTTAAGAACAGTTTCAGGTTAAGAATGGACCTCCGGAATGAATTAAGTACTTAAACCGATGTACCACTGTATACCTCTGAAGACCTGGTGCCGAGGGTGCCAAAACTGAGATGCCCCACGAAGAATGTTTCTCTCATATACCCTCATCGTGGCCTTCTTGTACACATTTGGCTGGCCATGGCTGAAAGCAGGTTGCTGAAATAGATGGATTCTTCAACTGAGCCAGCAGTGTCTGTTCTGCACCACGGTTCAGGATTTCAGCATCCGGAAACCAGGAGTGGACACCTACCCTCTTTTCTGTTCTGAACAGAGAGGAGATATACAAAGAGTTTCCATCCATCAGCAAGCATGGTGGGTGCTGATGTAGATGCCTCCCCTTGCGTTGAAACGGGGACATGCTTGGTCCTGTCTAGGCATGCAGATGGCCAGAAGAGGTTTAGTCCTGCTGGCCACATGACCCGGAAAGCTGTCTGTGGACAAACACCAGCTCCCTTGGCCTGAAGCAAGATGTGAGCCAGTGTGGTGTAGTGGTTAAGAGCAGTAGACTCGTAATCTGGGGAACCGGGTTGTGTCTCCGCTCCTCCATATGCAGCTGTGGGTGACCTTGGGCTAGTCAGGGGTCCCTTTACCTTTACCTTTTGCTGACTAGAGATTTAAATCGATTTGATTTAAATCAAATCCACCCTGTGGGGAGCCCTGGCGTATAGGATCTGAGCACCAAAAGAAGAATGCTGGAAGCTGAACAAAACCTGTAAGTACCTGTGTTCTTTTGGAACGCAGAAATAAAGAATCAAATCTAGCACGCGGGTGGGGGGGGCGCTTTATCTAAATTAATTCAGTATTGGAATGATTGGTATTAATAATTGTATTATAAATTGGTATTGTTATAATGGGGCTTTTATTGAATTGTAATTGAAAACTAATAAAAAACAACAACCTGTAAGTACCTGAGATTCGGGGGAAGCTGAAATTTGTTGCGCACATCATCTAAGCGTTTCCCAAGAAATGGTGTATCTACAGTCACAAAGATGCCTTTGTATCCAGCTTTTTCTGCCCGCTTCACTAGGGACCTGGTGACTTCACGGTCCTTATAGATATAGAGCTGCAACCAACGAATTGCCTCTGGAGCCTCCTGGGCAACTTCTTCTACAGATGTTGTGGACCACGAACTCAGCATCATCCCCGTTCCCATTGATCTGCAAGCTAAAGATCAGGAAGTAAGTGCCTCCCAAATATTTTCAATAATAATAATAATAATAATAATAATAATAATAATAATAATAATTTATTATTTGTACACCGCCCATCTGGCTGGGTTTCCTCAGCCACTCTGGGCGGCTTCCACAGAGACCAAAAATACACTAAAATGTCACACATTAAAAACTTCCCTGATGTCTTAAGATGTCTTCTGAATGTCAGGTAGTTGTTTATCGCTTTGACATCTGATGGGAGGGCGTTCCACAGGGCGGGCGCCACTACTGAGAAGGCCCTCTGACTGGTTCCCTGTAGCTTTGCTTCTCGCAATGAGGGAACCGCCAGAAGGCCCTCAGCGCTGGACCTCAGTGTCCGGGCAGAACAATGGGGGTGAAGACGCTCCTTCAGGTATACTGGACCGAGGCCGTTTAGGGCTTTAAAAGTCAGCACCAACACTTTGAATTGTGCTTGGAAACGTACTGGGAGCCAATGTAGGTCTTTCAAGACTGGTGTTATGTGGTCTCGGTGGCCGCCCCCAGTCACCAGTCTAGCTGCCGCATTCTGGATTAGTTGTAGCCCCACATAGAGTGCAAGTAGTTCAAGACCCTATCAAGAAACTAGGTACTACACATTTATATTATGGGCTGGGGGGGGGGAATCCCTCGAGCTTTCTAATTGCTCTGTTCTCTTTATAGCAGCCAAAGGTATGAATTTTATCAAATCAGCACTTTCTGAAATTACACGAGAACCGAAACACAGCCACAGTGCATTTTGTCAATCCATCAAAATTTAGAAAAATGCATTTCCTGTGGTAAAATATGTATAAAAATGAGTATATGTTTCTGAAAATAATATACAGTTGGGAGACATTGCTTGCAAAGAATGTGTACATTAGTCAAAACTGCAGAGAAAAAGACATTTATTGAGAGAAATTCACAACAAAATGCCGAATAATTTCCGTGAAGGTGTTTCTTTTAATGCAAATTTCTGAAGAAACTTGGAAAACCGAATTTAAAATTAGGGGAAACAAGAAACCGAGAGAACAAAATTGACAGATCCTCCCCTCTCTGGTCAGCAGATTGGTTTTCAGTTCATTTTTTAACCATTTACTTAATTTCTCAAACATTGAATCCTCGATGGTTTCAAAATTGCCGTTGGCTGCTTACAACCTACATATTTGTTGCCCTGGCCTTGATTTCAGCACTTACTGGACTTCAGCTACCTTTCTTTGTAAATAAACTGCTATTGTTAACACAGGGGTGTCATGGAGTACTAAATAAGGGACATGACTTTAGTCATTGACATTGTCCTAAAAAGCCTTTTTAAATATTTATGCAAGTTTAAGTCAACTTTTATACTTTGTGCAAGCGTTGGCTAGTGATGAAGCTCCAAACTCCATTTCTCCGATAACAATTGGATCAGCTTTGCCAAGCTCTGATGGTACATCTAGAGCCAGTGTGGTGTAGTGGTTAAGAGCGATAGACTTGTAATCTGAGGAACCGGGTTCGCATCTCCGCTCCTCTACATGCAGCTGCTGGGTGACTTTGGGCCAGTCACACTTCTCTGAAGTCTCTCAGCCCCACTCACCTCACAGAGTGTTTGTTGTGGGGGAGGAAGGGAAAGGAGAATGTTAGCCGCTTTGAGACTCCTTCGGGTAGTGATAAAGCGGGATATCAAATCCAAACTCTACATTAGGCTGATGGTGGCCAACTTTATGACATAGCAGAAGTACTTGCTGGACACAGAGCTGATGACTCACAAGTGTTAGAGCTCCTTTGGAACCCTTTTCAAATTCTAGATCTCCATTATACACAGAAGCAGGTAGTTACCAACTCCTTTCCGTTCCTGAAAGGCCTATGATCCAAACACACCATACCCCTCTTCTGAGAAGGCCTGGACAGGTTACTTGATCCCATCTGTGGCTTTCTGTAAGATTATCTGGCTACGCTTAATAAGTGGATGAGGAAGAGGATCTGAGCACACTTGCACTCCCCTCCACCACATTCCCAATTGTCTCCATCACATTCTTACATGTCCTCCACTACTGACTGTACCATAGCTGTCAACTTTTCCCTTTTCTTGCGAGGAATCCTATTCAGAATAAGGGAATTTCCCTTTAAAAAAGGGAAACATTGACAGCTATGGACTGTACCTGGAAGCTGACTGAATTCATGGAGGCTTCTTCCCACACACTTCAGAAGCAGGGAGTCAACACAAGTTTGGGTTGCTCTATGCCTTCCATGACAAACTGCCGAATGGCTGTTTGGGAGAACGTGACCTATTTGAGAAGCAAGTTCCGACTTATCTTTAACTCCAACCCAACCATGAAACTCAAGGAAACTTAAAAGGTAGACTCTGTCTGCCTCCTTTTAGGGTGCCTTCAAATGTTAATTGTGACATCGGGTTTCCACATTCCTATATGGTTAGCCATATTTATCTGAGGCTTCTCTGAAAAATTCTGTAACCCAAAGTTGGAAAGTCTGTGGTCCTTGGAATCCAATGGCCATCAGCCCGAGAAAACATGGCTTCTTGGGATGGTGGGAGGTGCTTAGTCCAGCAACATTGGGAGGGTCACATGTTCCTCATCTGAAATTTGCAATTCCTGATCCATGGCTACCCACACTAAGCATATCAGAAAATGCCCTCAACAAATCTCCCATCCAGATCCTGTGGGATGCTCGTTTGACACAATACATTACATCAGGCATAGGCAAACTCGGCCCTCCAGATGTTTTGAGACTACAATTCCCATCATCCCTGACCACTGGTCCTGTTAGCTAGGGATGATGGGAGTTGTGGTCCCCAAACATCTGGAGGGCTGAATTTGCCTATGTCTGCATTACAACAAGGATGATTAACCTGTCATTGGACTACAAATTCCATCATCCCTGACCATCAACCATACTGGGGCTGATAGGAGTTGGAGACCAACAGCTTCTGTCATGAATGCTTTAGCTGAGATTCCTGCGTTGTTGGGGGGCGGGGGAGGACTAGAAGATCCTTGGGATCCCTTCCAATTCTACAGTTCTATAACAGCTGATGGGCCACAGCTTAGTCACCCTTGCTTTATGTTCTATTCCCTGAATTACCTACAGCGCATTGGGAGAAAGTTTGCACACTTATTAATTATCTAGACACCCTCACAAGGAATAAGCCAGAAGACATTTCTAGCTTAGTAGTCACGGAACTGGGTGCCACCAAGTGCATGGCTGCTTCTGTGGCTTCTGTGGGGCAAGAGGACACTTGGACCAGAACGTTGTAGGTGGTCTTCTCCACATTTATTTCCATCTTTTATCATCCCAGTCATTCAACTACCCCATTTATTTCAACACTGTTCTCAGTACAGTGGTACCTTGGGTTAAGTACTTAATTCGTTCCAGAGGTCCATTCTTAACCTGAAACTGTTCTTAACCTGAAGCACCACTTTAGCTAATGGGGCCTCCTGCTGCAGCCGCACCACTGGAGCACGATTTCTGTTCTCACCCTGAAGCAAAGTTCTTAACCTGAGGTACTATTTCTGGGTTAGCGGAGTCTGTAACCTGAAGCGTATGTAACCTGAAGCGTATGTAACCTGAGGCACCACTGTACCTCCATCATCCACCCGCAGGGCAGAACTCGTACATTCATTTTATTGAGTGAGTGAGTGAGTGAGTGAGTGAATTAATATATCGCCCTATACCCAGAGGTCTCAGGGCGGTTCACAGAAAAGATGACAATATACAAAATCAAAGTTAAAAACAATAACACAATAACACACACACACCATTATTATTAATTTTTACATAAATGGTGTTCATAGTTGAACTGCTATAATATGCTGTTTGGGTAAGGCGACTAAAGCTCCAATTAAGGCTTGGAATAAAACCAAACACTTTTTACTTTAGATGTCATCAATATAATGATAGTTTGCATTTTATATAATACACTGATTTCTCTGATACTTTTCAATGTACAAAAGATCACCTAAACAGAAAATAAAAGAATAAGCACTGTGTTATGTATTTACCTATGGTGGTTACCTGGGTGACAGCTTAACATTAAAATGCTTATCTATTGAGAAATATTGTATCTCACTAGACATAGGGTTTTTTTTGTCCTCAGGATAGCATCACCATTTAGGATACAAATGCATGAACTTCTAGGTTATGTACTATATTCCAGGCATAGCAGACTGTCCCAAGTACACTTTAAGCAAGATTCTTTCATAGTGAGATTCTTGAATCATGTCAGTGAACCAGAAGTATCTGTCCCTAGTGACTGCCATTATAATAATCCTTTGTGTTGATTGGGATTACTGGGTTTCTATTCAAGGTATTAGAGCTCCACCATGTGGAACATCTACTTAATCATAGCATATTCTTGCAACTTATTCACTTCCTAAACAAACCATTCCCCTCAATCTCTCCTGCTGTTATTGAGAATTTATGCAGGCTGTTTTATAAAAAAAACCACAATGTCCCCATTCCAACATTCACAGAGTCCATTTAGCGGTGGCTCCAAGCTGCGGCCCAAACATTTGAAGCCCTCTCCCCATGCGCAACACTCCCGTCTGAGTGGAGCAGAACCTCCCAAGCAAATTCCTGAGAGCTCCCTGGGGCAGACTCCATGTAATCAAAACAAGATGAGCATATAGGTCGCTTCCAGGTGGCCTGTTTAGTGAGCATTCAACCAGTTTGTTTGCAAGAGAGATTACCGTATTTATCTCTCTATAGGATGCACTTTTCCCCCTCCAAAAATGAAGGGGAAATGTGTGTGCGTCCTGTGGAGTGAATGCAGGCTCCTTGGCTTCAGAGATAGCAAGGGGAAGCCTCCGAAGCACAGACAGAGTGCTCCCTCTGCGCTCCTTGGCTTCCCGTTGCTTTCACTAAAGCCTGGAGAGTGAGAGGGGTCGGTGCACACCGACCCCTCTCGCTCTCCAGGTTTCAGGCAGCTATCCGCAAGCCTTCGGAGTGCAGCAGGAGTTCCCGCCGTGCTCCGAAGGCTTGTGGATAGCAGCCTGAAGCCCGGGG